TCTATCTATATATATATATATATATTGATGCATGTTTCATTAAATAATATAGAAAAGTTTTGTCGATTTTATGTAAGTTCCTTTCATATTGTCTGATAAGCTTAATAACATTATCATTGAGAGACTAAAGGAAATCACCATATTGATACATGTTTAAATCCAATCTCAGCTTTCAGCTTACATAAGCCATTATCAAAGATGACAATTACTTTTCAATATATCCCTGTTTGTTGCGGTTAAGGGTATTCACTTTTCCTTTGGCTATTTCAATTTGCCTTTTCACAAGGCTAGATTTATAATTCCAGATATACACAATGTATATATATATATATATATATATATATATATATATATATATGTAATGTGTGTGTGTGTATCTATCTATCTATCTATCTATCTATCTATCTCTATATATAGATACATATATATGCATATACATATATATATATGTTTATTTATACGTATCTCTCTCACCTCTCTCTCTTTCTCTCTCTCTCTCTATATATATATATATATATATATATATATATATATATATAGTCCATATCTTTGTATATAATTTTTTTTAATCTTTCTTTGTTTCTCTTAATGAGTTCCTCTCTAATGATATATAATCCTAAAAAGTTCTTTAAACAAAATAATCTTAAATACAATATGTTTTTGTCGCATCACAAATTCACCCCCCCACCACCAAAAAATGATGAAAAAATCGTTGGACACTGTAAGCATTTAATCCACATTGGATGAACGATATAGACTTCAAAACTTAGTCTTTATATCAGAAATGACATTTCTTTCAAGGGAGTGGTCTTTTAAATAGACAAGTTGCAACTTTCATCTGATTTCTCATTGATCAAAATAATTAAGATTATTTTATACTTGAAGCGTTATCGTTTTGATAATCCTTCCGATTAACAAATTGTTTCTTGAATTATCATAACAGTTGTTTTAAGTTAATCTATAAACTGAAGTGGTAGGTTTATCAACTTTAAAGGTGTTTTTTTATGTCTGATATCATCCCTGTTTCCCGGAATCCTCATCATCATCTTTGGAAATTTCATCTTTTTATCTACATCGAAACTGATGTTATCCGGTTATTCATATATTACCACATAAAAAAAATTATTTTCATAAAAAAAGATGATATAATGCAAATTAGATTAATTTCAAAATATCACAAATTCAAATTGATTAAATTGAAACGGAATCAATTTATCAAAAATTTTTCGCCGAATGTTTTTTTATCAATTTAAACTAGCTCAAGTTAATGCATAACGTTGTTAGAATAAAAAAAAATCTAAAAAAAAAAAAAAAACTATGTTAGCGTTGGGATAAATGATTTACAAAGCAATTTTGAAAAAAAAAAAAAAAAAAAAAGCAATAATAACAGAAACAATGTCAACCTTTAAATATGTTCATCAATTTTATTTTAGTCAAACAAATATTTGCCAAATTTAAGATTTATCTTGTAACCGTCACAAAAAATTGTATTTGTGTATTTAAAACGCAGAAAATATTCTGAGAAATAATTCGATTGGTTATTTTAATAATCACGTGACTTTTCAGCTCATTGCCATCAAAAAAAAAGAAGTTAAATCCTATCTCTTTTGGAATTTCTTAAAATGAAATTTTATCTGAATACGGAATCGTTTTTAATTGCATTTAACCCAAAAAGAATCACAAAGTTTAATAATTAAGTTTAGTTTTCTTTAATTTTTTTAAAATTACTCTTCTTTTTTATTTTCAATCTTGAAAGCACGGCTATATAAAAAAAAAGAAATATCGGAGGGGAGAAGGCAAAATAAGTTATCGTTGGTCGCGTACTTATTAAAACATGTTAAACTCTGGAAGGAATTTAAAAATGAGGTGTTTCATCGTTTATAAGTCTCGGGGTAACATGCAGGCGAGAGTTTCAAACGAGATTTGGAGAATCATTTCGTTTTGTTATCAAGCCCGCGAGAATTAAAGTATATTTTCATTTGAGTTGTCATTTAGTCTGATTCTATTTGCTTTCTCTCATTGACACAAAGGCTGACTCTGGGTCACGCTTTCGAGGTGGGGAATAATCAAGATAAAATTGCAAAAAGAACTTGATAGGAATTCTGTTTAATTTGTCTTTTTTTTTGCTTTTGTTCTTTGCTTTTTTAATTGATGTTCTAGGAGTGTGTCAATTTTGGCGAAAAACGATTGAAATTTAGAGTCAACACAGTGTAAGTTTATGAAAGAAAACAAAGAAAATTGCTTAAATTGGAAATGCTCTGGGGTTTAGGAATGATAAGAAAAAAGAAAAAAAGAAAGAAATGAAGAAAGAAAGGAAAGCAAAATAGAAAGAAAGTTCAAATGTGTGTGAAAAAAGTAGAAAAGAGAAAAATAGTAAAAAAAAATAGAAGAAAATAGAAAGAACGAAAGAGAAAAGAAGAATTCAAAATAGGATGAAAGAGAAAAAAAGAAAATTAATTTAATCGAACATTTTGTAGAATGTAAGTTTGGTGGTATATATTCACAGGGTTATGACGTAGATTGTGTCAGATGTTAAGTTTCAAATATGAATAACGCCAGAATAATTTATGTCAAAGTAAGTAAAAATTTGAATTTCAAGTTAAATATATTTGTGCCTGTGAGAAAATCACCCAAGTAATAAATAAAAGAAAAGAAACACATCAAGGATTTTGAACAAATATTAAGACAAATATCTGAAGATGAAGATTAATATATTTATTTTGGAATATCATGCTGCTCTGCAATGGATAACTGAAGAAAGGTGATGATGACCAACAAATTAAGGAATTTTCAATCTATAAATTAGATTTATAAAATTTTAAATAGTTAAAATCATTAAAACTTTGGGAAAGACAATACATACACACAGAGACACACACGAACACAGACATACACGCACATATCTATCTATCTATCTATCTATCTATCTCTCTATCTCTCTCTCTCTCTCTCTCTATATATATATATATATATATATATATATATATATATATATATATATAATTATATAATTATAAAGGCAAAAGTGATATTAGTTAAAAAAAGAACGGCTTAAGAGAGCGCTCAATGCATTTTATAAAACGAAAATGTAGAACGAATTAATATATATATATATATATATATTTAAAGATATTTTTAGGTACAAAATTTAATGATCGAAATAAAAGTATAAAATCTAATATTACAAGACATATTAAACACAAAAATAAAAAAAAACACAACAACGGGGGGGGGGGAGCAACCGGTTTCGCTCCCGCTCTTCAGGCTTCAACGGAAGATTCAAAATTAATACAGAAAATGTACAATAAGGAATTGGGGAAATATATATATATATATATATATATATATATATATACAGAAGGAACTAGAGACAAATGACAGCGAGTCCCAACAAACACTCACGTTGTTTACACAAAGAAGGCTTGCGGGACACGATGAAAAGTGCCTCCAGAACCTTCAGATGAAATAAAGAGTGAGATCGGGCCAACACGGTGAACCAGTCAACACTAAATTTGGCTGCACAATCTCTGCTATTTAATAGATGTTCGCATATGACGGAACTGTAGGTGTTCGGGATGAGTCCATTCAAAGGCAGGGTGTGGTTTCTAATTTTACGTATTAGAATCCCTTACAGTATGTAGAATTATTTTCACATCAAGTATAAGTATGTATATTATTAGGTAACAAATTTGTTTTTTTTATTTATATTTAAATATTATTTAAATAAAATTTATGACAATGACGGCAAAAATAGCTAATTAATTTCACTGATTTAGTAAACTTTTATTTTTTTATATAAACCTAGTAATATATTGTTTCTCATGTAAGTACAAAGGACATAGGTCATTCAAAAGCTTACATCTTCCAGCATTTCATATTAATTTCATTTTACTGTAGGTGTTTTATTGGATTCTTTTAAGTGCTTGTAGTACTAAGAGGGAGGTCTTTAGGTTAGAATACGTTTTATTTAATTACAATTTTAAAAGATGTTTAGGTAAGAATTCGTTTTATTTAACTACAATTTTAAATACAACTTTAAAATATTTTCACTGTTAGTTTTAATAGACTATATTTCTTTTTAAAAGAAGTAAATGTATTAGAATTACTTACTGTAAGTAAAATTATTTTTCCATATCAAGTATAAGTATGTATATTACGATTTAAAAATTTTATATTTAAATATTATTTAAGTAAAATTTATGACACTTACGGCAAAAATAGCTAATTAATTTCTCTGATTTAGTAAACTTTATTTTTTTATAAACTTAGTAATATATAGTTTCACATGTATGTACAAATGACATGGGTCATTCAATGGCCTACATCTTCTAGCTTTTCATCATAATTTCCTTTTTCAGTAGGTGTTTTATTGGATTCATTTAAGTGCCGGTAGTACTTTGAGAGAGGTGTTTAAGTTAGAATAGGTTTTATTTAATTACAATTTTCAAAGATGTTTAGGTGAGAATTCGTTTTAACTACAATTTTAAATACAACTTTAAAATATTTTCACTGTTATTTTAATAGAGTATTTTTTTTAAGAAAAAGCAATAAATGTAATAGAATTACTTACAGTGTATAAAAT